GGCGGCGCTAGAGCGGGCGGTTGCGGGGCGGGGCCGTTGGAGAGCGGGGACACGGGTGTAGTTAGGAATTAAGGGGGACCTGCCCGCTGCGAACCCCTCTGCTGCATCGGCACCCACCTGTGTGAAGCGCGGACTTAGCGCCCTGCCTGGCGGCTCCGTGGCGCCCCCGGGATAGCATAGGCCAAGCCTTTGCAGGCCCTAGCTCAGGGGTCAGCAACCTTCGAGGAGTGGCGCACCGGGATTTCACTTATTCACTTACCAGTCTGCGTGCCCTTGGTCCTGCCCGCTGCGAACCCCTCTGCTGCATCGGCACCCACCTGTGTGAAGCGCGGACTTAGCGCCCTGCCTGGCGGCTCCGTGGCGCCCCCGGGATAGCATAGGCCAAGCCTTTGCAGGCCCTAGCTCAGGGGTCAGCAACCTTCGAGGAGTGGCGCACCGGGATTTCACTTATTCACTTACCAGTCTGCGTGCCCTTGGTACTTTGTAAAGTCAGTAATAGTTCTACAAGAGCAACGAGAACTCCCGTGGCACCTTATAGACTAACAGATTTACTGGAGCATAAGCTTTTGTGGGCAGACCTACTTATCAGATGCATGTGACGAAGTGGGTCTTTGCCCACGAAAGCTTATGCTCCAGTAAATCTGTTAGTCTATAAGGTGCCACGGGACCGCTTGTTGTTTTTGCAGATTCAGACTAATACAGCTACCCCCTCTGATGATAATTGTTCTTCTACAGCAGCTTCATTAATAAAGAAAAAAAGAGATGCAGATCTTGCCATATTAGTAACACAGGATTTAAGATCAGAGTTTTAGAGATCTGCAGCAGTTCAGAAAGCATTCTGGTAAAACAATCTTTTTTTCTTTCTTTCTTTGGGATATACAGGCTTAATTCTTGGCTTCATCACAGACTTCTTGAGTGAGCTCAGGTAAGCCCCCAAAGGTACATATACACTTCAGCTGGAGGTGTAAAGCTCTAGGAGACATACACACACTGCCTTTAGCTGAGGGTAGGTCTGCAGTGAAATTAATAACTTGCTGATGTAAGGTGTGGAGCATACACAGCTAGCACTAAGAGGAGCTGAAGATGCACTTGAGTGTACATTTTAAAGTTTTTTTTCTTTTAGGAAACAGGAAAGTACTTTTTTCTAAAACTTTCTCATTGCAAACTGTTGACATTCATCTGAAAGTGGGTTGTGCCCATGAAATCTCATTATATAATCTCCATGTTTTGTTAGTCTTTAAATTGCTGCTACACTATTCATTGTCAAAAATGGTGCCTCTTGCGTAAAAATGTCATGCCTTTTTACTGACTTTTATAAGTAGTTAGCACCAGTTTTTGGAGGAGCTTTTTGTAAAGGAAAAATGTCACTAACTTCTTGGGAGGAGGAGGGGCAAGTAGAAAAGATGTAGGACATTTTGAAAAAGGTGGGAAAAATAAAATAGGTCCATTTGGCACACTTTGAAATGAAAACAAATTCATAAGTTAATACTTTGTGCTCTCTATGAAAATAGGTCATCATATTTCATCCAGTTCTGGTAATACAGGAAAAAAATCTTGAGTTACGCTTTTGTTGACAATTCCCATCAGAGCCTTTGGCTTTGTTTTTTAGAATTAGACCCAGATATAGAGAGGTATTTGGGTGCCTGAGAGAGCAGATACATGTCTAACCTGCTTTGCACTTCAGAAAACTCCAGATGTCTAATTCCCATTAAGCGTCAAATGAAAATAAATGTAATTCCCCTTAGGCGTGTATCTGTCTCCTTAGGTGCTTCAGAGAGGTAGCAGAGCTAGTCTGTAACAGGAAAAATATAAAAAACAACAAATAGTTTGGCAACACTGTAAAGACTAACAAAACATGTAGATGGTGGTATCATCTTTTCTGGGCAAAACCCACTTCTTCAGATGAGGAAGTGTGTTTTCTCCAGGAAAGCTCATGATACCATACATGTTTTGTTAGTCTTTGAAGTGCTACTAGACTATTTGTTGTTTAAGTTTTTTTTGTCTCTTTAGTTTTTTATGCAGCACTGGTAGGTAAATGCTATCGTTGCTTCACGGTTGAGGAAACCGAGTCACAGACGTTAAGTGATTTGCAAAGATCATCTCTTGACTGACAGGGAAGGTGACAGTAAAGCTTAGGAGTGATGGCTCTCTTGTAACCACTACCCAGAAGTGTCCATTGGATGGTTTGGGGCAGTCACATGGAGGCTGTGGCTTTGGGGAGCCCTGCACTCCAGGAGGACACGGTCCGGGAGGAGCAGGGGCAGCAGCATCACAGCTGCTTCTCTCTCCTTCTGTGGATGCATAGCATGGAGGACATGGGGCTGGTAACAGCACCACTGCCCCCTCTCCGCCTTACTGGTATTACTCAGGAGGGAAAGGGTTGGAGGTTTTAGGAAAGGGGTTGAATAAGGGTGGGAGTGGAGGGGTTGGAGTTTGGGGAAAGGAGTGGAGTGGGGGCAGGAAGAGGCAGGGCAAGGGTGAAGCCTGAGGTAGATATCCTGGGCCCCACATCCCCTAGGGATGGCCCTGGCACTGCTTCATGTTCTTATTTGAAAGAATAAGATTATTCTAGGGGTTTTTAACTTTTTTTTTTTTTTTGCAGACCCTTAAAATATTTCTCATAGAGGTGTGAACCCCTCTAAATATCTTAGATTGTCTGCAGACCCTAGCTTGAAAACCATGGTTCTGTGGTAATGACAGCCTTAGCTTTAGTGTAGACCATAGATTCAGAACTACTAAATTAGTTTACCAGTTTGTATTGTGAAATATGGACCAAGGTTTTTAACCAGCTTTCTGTTTTAAGGAACTTCCTAGTTGTGAAAATGTGAAGGACAAACTTGTGTGAACATTTATAAGATGGGTACCAAGTACCATTGTAAAATGCTTTGGGATAACATCCAAGGTATTACCAAGCCAATAATTCATGCTATGTTTGTTCCTTGGGTAGTAGCTTAAAACAGGTTTCACAACTTAAATTTGCAAGAATTAGCCACTGTATACACGTAACGCTTTTCCTCTAATGTGTTCATTCATAATGGTCATGGTACAGCTGATTGAAGAACAACGAAGTACCTTGTGATAACTTCCTTGAAAAATTGTATTTCTTTTTGCTAGGAAAAAAAAGCCTTAAAATTTGGCATCTTTTGTTTTTGTATGGTTTATTTTTTAAACCAACTTCATATCTTGGTGGCACGTAAGGCAGAACTTTCTGCAACTTGATTTGTGCTGCTTAACAGTGTTTGTTAGTAATTCTGGGCAAATTGGCCAGCTGTTCCTACGAAGAATGGCATTAGTAATGCCTGGAGCAATGTATTTCAGGATACACAAATCTTACAGCATGACTAAGACGTAGATATACTGGCTGGTGGGTCTATCCACATACTAAGATAATCATCATGATCTTATTCCGGGAAGGTTCCTTACTCTAGGAACCATGTGGTATCCTACATCAGGGCGTTTTAATCTTTTTCTTTCAGACATTTCTGCCCCTCTCCCCCAACATGTTATAAGTACTCCATGGCCCAGTGTGCCGCAACAACTGTTTCTCTGTGCGTAAAAGCCAGGACCAACATTATGGATATCAGACAGAATAATTGCCCTAGGCGCCACATTACAGAAGGTACCACAAAGCTAATTTACAGATTTGGCGAAGTGCCCTAGGCTGCAGTTCTATTCGGTGGGGCTTCAGCCTTCTGCCCTGGGTTCTAGTAAATCTATTGCCACCATGTTTGGCAGACCACCTGGAACTGCTTGCATCCCCCCAGAGTGTCCAAAAACCCTAGTTCAGAATCACTGTCCGACACTGATGGAAAGGGTGATACGTGGCTAATAAGCATGACAGCTAGCCACACATTACCCCCTTGTACAGGGTGGATGAAAATCAGTAATTTTTAAAGAAAAGTTAAAATTCAGTTCATTTCAATTAAGTTCAGTTTATTTAAAAAATAAACCTGTTTAAAATTCAATTTGAAATTGATAACTTGTGTTAATGCTTATGCTTGTACAGGCAGTCCCCGGGTTACGTACAAGATAGGGACTGTAGGTTTGTTCTTAAGTTGAATCTGTATGTAAGTCAGAACTGGCATCCAGATTCAGCCGCTGCTAAAATTCAGTTCATTTCAATTAAGTTCAGTTTATTTAAAAAATAAACCTGTTTAAAATTCAATTTGAAATTGATAACTTGTGTTAATGCTTATGCTTGTACAGGCAGTCCCCGGGTTACGTACAAGATAGGGACTGTAGGTTTGTTCTTAAGTTGAATCTGTATGTAAGTCAGAACTGGCATCCAGATTCAGCCGCTGCTGAAACTGAT